ATATTGGTACCTTAGTGGTACACATTAGCACCTAAAATGTACATATTGACACCTAAAATGTACATATTAGTACCTAAAATGTATATATTAACACCTAAAATGGACATATTAGCTCATGAAATTGACATATTAACACCTAAAATGTACATATTAACACTTAAAATGGACATATTAGTACCTAAAATGGACATATTAGCTCCTGAAATGGACATATTAGCACCTAAAATGCACATATTAACACTTAAAATGTACATATTACCACCTAAAACGGACATATTAGCTCATGAAATGGGCATATTAGCACCTAAAATGTACATATGAACACTTAAAATGTACATATTAGTACCTAAAATGGACATATTAGCTCCTGAAATGGACATATTAGCACCTAAAATGGACATATTGACACCTAAAATGGACATATTAGCTCATGAAATTGACATATTAGCACCTAAAATGTACATATTAACACTTAAAATGTACATATTAGTACCTAAAATGGACATATTAGCTCCTGAAATGGACATATTAACACCTAAAATTGACTTATTAGCACCTAAAATGTACATATTAGCACCTAAATTTTACATATTACATAAAATGTACATATTACCACCTAAAATGGACAAAAGTTTACCTTTTGAAAAGGTACAGCCCCAGTGACAGCTTTTGTACCTTTTTTTTTTGAGAGTGTAATGCAAGTCTGATGTATCAAAATTCAGTTCACGCTTATTTGAATTGACCTAACGTTTAACAAACGTAAGGTCAATTTAAATAACTATTAACCTGTGTGTTTATGACTCCAATAGTAATGGCATTCAGTCACAATGCAATGGAGATGTGCAAAGAGCCCGTTAGTGATCAATGGAGGCGTTCAAAACTACATTTGACACATTGGCCAGCCTGTGGTCATGAGAATCTACTCAGGACTTCAGGGAGAACATTAAAGCATCAAACATGTATGATATGACCCCTGTTTTGCCACTGTGAGCATATGAGCATTTACATTAGGAGATTATTACAGCTTTAGATGTTTAGATGTGCTAATTGTTTCTACTCCAGAGGCATTAAGTGTGTTATTAAGTGTTTGGTAGCTACTAGTGCAACATTCAGCCGTTAAAAAAAAGAGTTGTTCAGGAACTAGATGTGTTAACCTGTAGGACATCAGAGGAGTTGAACGTTCAGGGATTAATTAATTAAAGTGTTCAAGGTTACGGATTTAGCGCAGTGGAAGTCTTATCACATCATGTAGGCAATAAAACATAAATGAAATCTCCTAAACAGGGCTCTGGGAAAAGCTTTTAGAGTTTAAGAGTTTTCGTGGAGATTAACGGCATGCGTTTGATGTGTAAATTGTTAAGACGTGTAGCCTTCACAACAGATGATTGATGCGAGCAGTGTTAGGCAAGGTTATACTACTTAACACAAAGCCTGTCAGTCACATTGGCGTATCAGTCTGCTGTTCATCATGACTGGCAGATGTTTCTGTCGGACGTCTAAGTGGATCTGACCGATCCTTGGCACTGCTCTCCAAAACGCCAGACTCTGTTTGGACGTCAAAGCAGCTGCTGAAACACTCCCAGAGATATTACCTTTCTGCTCACGGGGCGGCTGGAAATCTGCTGCGATTACACACGGGGTCCTTGCGGACGGGAATAACGCTTCTACCAGAGAAATTAAAACACAACACGGCAGCTGTAACACAGTCTATTAGCTCTGACAGGACCAATGGGATTTCTCTGACCTGACCATGAACATATGCACAGCAGGGTTACTAGAGATAACTACAACCAAACCAGTCACTTGAAACAAAATACAGTTGATCTGAAACAGATTCAAATTAATTATAATAATAATAATAACTTTTGAAATTGCTTTAGGTCTCCTACAATAAGTTTGCATGCATCCAAGGTCAAAAAACACTTTTGATTTTCTCTTCATATACATTGAAGCTTCAGCTTTTTTCTTACCGTGTCTGAAACAGTTCGATAAGAGTTTAGTCTCTCTAAACCCCTACTTTCTGAGAACCTACTTTCTGATTGGTCAGATGACCCAGTCTGTTGTGATTGGTCTACTCTGCTCTGATTGGTCAGATGGCCCAACCTGTTGTGATTGGTCAGATGACCCAGTCTGTTGTGATTGGACGACTGTTCTGATTGGTCAGATGACCCAGTCTGTTGTGATTGGTCTACTCTGATTGGTCAGATGGCCCAGTCTGTTGTGATTGGTCTACTCTGTTCTGATTGGTCAGATGGCTCAGTCTTTGATTGGTCTACTCTGCTCTGATTGGTCAGATGGCCCAGTCTGTTGTGATTGGTCTACTCTGTTCTGATTGGTCAGATGGCTCAGTCTTTGATTGGTCTACTCTGCTCTGATTGGTCAGATGGCCCAGTCTGTTGTGATTGGTCTACTCTGCTCTGATTGGTCAGATGACCCAGTCTGTTGTAATTGGTCTACTCTGCTCTGATTGGTCAGATGGCCCAGTCTTTGATTGGTCTACTCTGCTCTGATTGGTCAGATGGCTCAGTCTTTGATTGGTCTACTCTGCTCTGATTGGTCAGATGACCCAGTCTGTTGTGATTGGTCTACTCTGCTCTGATTGGTCAGATGACCCAGTCTGTTGTGATTGGTCTACTCTGTTCTGATTGGTCAGATGGCCCAGTCTTTGATTGGTCTACTCTGCTCTGATTGGTCAGATGGCTCAGTCTTTGATTGGTCTACTCTGCTCTGATTGGTCAGATGGCCCAGTCTGTTGTGATTGGTCTACTCTGCTCTGATTGGTCAGATGACCCAGTCTGTTGTGATTGGTCTACTCTGCTCTGATTGGTCAGATGACCCAGTCTGTTGTGATTGGTCTACTCTGCTCTGATTGGTCAGATGATTCAGTCTGTTGTGATTGGTCTACTCTGCTCTGATTGGTCAGATGGCCCAACCTGTTGTGATTGGTCAGATGACCCAGTCTGTTGTGATTGGACGACTGCTCTGATTGGCCAGATGATTCAGTCTGTTGTGATTGGTCTACTCTGCTCTGATTGGTCAGATGGTTCAGTCTGTTGTGATTGGTCTACTCTGCTCTGATTGGTCAGATGGTTCAGTCTCAAACTTTTACATTCACAAACAGCCATATTTACACACTGCATTAAAGGAAATATCCAAAACAGTAGGGGGGACTTATTGAAAAATAAAATGTATGCATAAACCAAAATTCCATTCAGTGTTTCCAAAATAACAGTTTGCAGCACAAACGATACTTCTGGGTTTGTTCCAATCACTAACTCGTGAGCAATAACAGCAATACTTGTTAGTAAACAGCACTGATAATGTTTGTTGAAAGTTCACAGTATAATTAAAGCTGTAATTAGTGCAGGTCAGCTGAATAATCCCAGGGTTTGAACAAAGAGGGATTGAAGCTGGTGTAGAGCCAAACGTTTTTCCAGAATTATATGCCACAGTGGTTAAAAGGATCACCATGGTAACAGCGAGGAGAAAATCCGCAACAACGGTCATTAATAACCTAGAGATACTGTTCTGGGAAAACGGCTAGAAATGAACCAACACTAAACTTGCTCCTGCTGGTACGGGTGGTGAAATGAATCAAAAAGTTAATTTACGTGAAGCTCAGGGGAGCACACTAAAGCAGAACCGCTGCACATAAATGCCGTTTACCCAACAAACACCTGCATTAAACTATAGAGATAAATCACGACATATATGGCAAAACACCCCCATATACAGACACAAAAACACACAACACAACATTCAGTTGAAGTCTTTCCACAAACACATATTCTAGACTGACCACTGCAAAAAACAAATCTTAAATATAGCAAAAATGTCTTAAAATCGAGCAAAACAATCTTGTTAATTTAATGGTAAAAATGACTAAAACTAGCATAAATTTATATTAGTCTAAAAACTAGAAGGAAAACGCTTAGAATTATAATGCCCATCAAAAGATTGTTCAAAAGAATATTGAACAAAAGAAGATCAAAAGTGACAGTGTTTATAATGTTACAAAAGATTTCTATTTTAAATAAACGCTGCTCTTTTGAATTTAAATTATTTATATATATATATATATATATATATATATATATATATATATATATATATATATACTGTATATATATATATATACACTGAAAAAAATAATATGCTTTATCTAATCAATACAATTGTGGCAACATATTACAAGCAATATTATGAATTAAATTGTACAAATTAGAATTAATTAGAATATTAATTTGATTAACTTTTACTCAATTCTAATTTGTTCAATTTAATAAATAATATTGCTTGTAATATGTTGCCACAATTTTATTGGTTAGATAAAGCATATTCATTTTTACAGTGTATATATATATATATATATATATATATATATATATATATATATATATCACAGTTTCCACAAAAAATGTGAAGCAAAACAACACATCAAAGCATCAAATTAGTATATTAAAATGATTTCTGAAGGATCATGTGACACTGAAGTCTGGAGGAATGATGCTGGAAATTCAATTACATTTTCAAATCAAATAAAATAGAAAATGTCTATTTTAAAATGTAATACTTTCCCCACAATTTTACTGTTAAACTGTATTTTTGAATAGTAATGAATAAAACATAATGTGAAACAAATTCTTTTGACATTTGCATTAAATCTTGAATTTGCATTTTTTTTTCTTAAAAAAAAGAATATGACTTAAGACGTTCTACGCTTGCATTTGTAAATATTCACTAAAGTTGCTTAATATTCAATATTCAATGTTTCTAAACTTAATTTGCATAATGTTGCACGATATTAGGACATTTTTGCTATAAGTTTTCCTTTTCTTGAGAGGGGCGTTTAGTGCAGTTGTTTCATAAGCGTGGCTTACAAAAGATCGCAGAACATCCCAACATCAGTCAGGACTCAGGACACGAAGGTCACATGAGGAACACGTGTGTGTGTGTGTGTGTGTTGTGTTTTATGTGCATGAATGAAGCACGATACATACTGTAGGACAGAGGAACGTCCAGCTCGCCCTGCCACGACAGCTGCCCGAGATCGTCCACAGAGTGCTGCGCTGCAGAAACACACACACACACACATTTACATTTATTCATTTAGCTGAAGCTTTTATCCAAAGCGACTTACAATTGCTATATATGTCAGAGGTCGCACGCCTCAAGTGGGGTTAAGTGTCTTGCTCAGGGACACATTGGTGTCTCACAGTGGATTCTCACACCAAAGGCATGTGTCTTATCCACTGTGCCATCACCACCCCATAACACATATACACACACACAAACACTGAGGACTTCACACTCTGTAAACATGAAACACTCCTAAATATCAATATGAACACAATGTGATTAACTGACATCGACCCGTGTTGCTATTGTAAACACTCAAACTGGAAATAACAACATTGATGTTACTTGAAATAAACCTTTAATATCAATAATAATAATAAAAAAAATTATATATATAAACCTTGAAACTAAAACTTAAATGAAAATTAGATTAGGAATGTTCCTTTGGCAACTTTTAAGTTTTCGTTTATTTAAAATGTTGTAAAACTAAGGGTTGGTTTATACAGAAGCGTATTGCATTCACTTGAAAAAAAAATCTACTCTATTTTTCTGAATTAACGAGTAAATTATCTCAGAATTATGAGATATATTTTTCTTGAAAAAAGTTTTCACTCTGTTTTTATTAATTAATTTTTTAAATAATCAAGTCATTAATTCAGAAAAAAAGAGCAAAAACCTTTTTCCATGAAAAAAAATCACGTAATTCTGAGATAATTAACTCGTTCATTCAGAAAAACAGAGCAAATTATTTATTTCCATGAAAAAATATCTCATAATTCTGAGGTAATTAACTCGTTAATTCAGAAAAACAGAGCAAATTATTTATTTCCATGAAAAATGATCTGGTAATTCTGAGATAGTTAACTTTTTAATTCAGAAAAACAGAGCAAATTATTTATTTCCATGAAAAATCATCTCGTAATTCTGAGTTAATTAATCCGTTAATTCAGAAAAACAGAGCAAATTATTTATTTCCATGAAAAATGATCTTGTAATTCTGAGGTAATTAACTTTTTAATTCAGAAAAACAGAGCAAATTATTTATTTCCATGAAAAATGATCTGGTAATTCTGAGATAATTAACTTTTTAATTCAGAAAAACAGAGCAAATTATTTATTTCCATGAAAAATGATCTCGTAATTCTGAGGTAATTAACTCGTTAATTCAGAAAAACAGAGCAAATTATTTATTTCCATGAAAAATGATCTGGTAATTCTGAGATAATTAACTTTTTAATTCAGAAAAACAGAGCAAATTATTTATTTCCATAAAAAATGATCTCGTAATTCTGAGGTAATTAACTTGTTAATTCAGAAAAACAGAGCAAATTATTTGTTTCCATAAAAATGATCTCGTAATTCTGAGGTAATTAACTTGTTAATTCAGAAAAACAGAGCAAATTATTTGTTTCCATGAAAAATGATCTTGTAATTCTGAGGTAATTAACTCGTTAATTCAGAAAAACAGAGCAAATTATTTATTTCCATGAAAAATGATCTCGTAACTCTGAGATAATTAACTTGTTAATTCAGAAAAACAGAGCAAATTATTTATTTCCATGAAAAATGATCTCGTAACTCTGAGATAATTAACTTGTTAATTCAGAAAAACAGAGCAAATTATTTATTTCCATGAAAAATGATCTTGTAATTCTGAGGTAATTAACTCGTTAATTCAGAAAAACAGAGCAAATTATTTATTTCCATGAAAAATGATCTCGTAACTCTGAGATAATTAACTTGTTAATTCAGAAAAACAGAGCAAATTATTTATTTCCATGAAAAATGATCTCGTAACTCTGAGATAATTAACTTGTTAATTCAGAAAAACAGAGCAAATTATTTGTTTCCATAAAAAATGATCTCGTAATTCTGAGATAATTAACTTGTTAATTCAGAAAAACAGAGCAAATTATTTGTTTCCATAAAAAATGATCTCGTAATTGTGAGATAATTAACTTGTTAATTCAGAAAAACAGAGCAAATTATTTATTTCCATGAAAAATGATCTCGTAATTCTGAGATAATTAACTTGTTAATTCAGAAAAATAGAGCAAATTATTTATTTCCATGAAAAATGATCTCGTAATTCTGAGATAAGTAACTCGTTAATTCAGAAAAACAGAGCAAATTATTTATTTCCATGAAAAATGATCTCGTAATTCTGAGATAATTAACTTGTTAATTCAGAAAAACAGAGCAAATTATTTATTTCCATGAAAAATGATCTCGTAATTCTGAGATAATTAACTTGTTAATTCAGAAAAATAGAGCAAATTATTTATTTCCATGAAAAATGATCTCGTAATTCTGAGATAATTAACTCGTTAAAAAACAGAGTAGATTTTGTTTCCACAAGTGAATGCACGCTTCCGTAGGTTTACAATAAAAAATGTTTTATGCGTTTTGGCCATTCATTTAAAACATCAAAGTACACGGTTTTGAAAACTATACCGTCTCTCTATAAACTACAAACATGTGATTTTGTGATAACGGTGATGTCATAAGTGCTTTCTTTACAAAGTGACATCGTCATACGCCATCTACTGGCCTGATGTGAATAATACAGTTTTAATCCTTTTTGAACGAGGATTGTTTGAAAACATTATTTTCCATAGTATATAGTGTAAATGTACAAAAAAGTACAAAACTTACTAAAACCGAAAGTTTAATATAAATATTAGCTATAAAACTAATAAAAGTGACAAAACTTCAACTAAAATTAAAATATAAACTAAACATATTAGTGACAAATACAAAAAAAAATTATTTTCTAAATTCTAAATATGAATAAATACTACAATAGTGTATAAATCAACTAGATGTAGTAATAAAGATATGTACATATACACATTTACTTTTGCAATGCAAACTGAACAGTCTAAATAGATATTTGGTGACCAGTTAACATAGAATTTAAAAAAAAATATCCATCTAAAAAGTAAAGTTTCAAGTACCTATAAAATAAATGACTAAAACTTAAATAAAAAATAAAGCTAAACAAAAATATTCTAATAAAAACGAATAAAGTACCGCAATTACTGAAACTTCACATACAAACCACACTCTCAGAAAAAAAGGTACAAAAGCTGTCACTGGGGCTGTACCTTTTCAATTTTTGTACCCAAAGGCATATTTGTACCTTAGTGGTACATATTACCACCTAAAAAGGACATATTAGCTCATGATATTTACACATTAGCTTCTGAAATGGACATATTACCACCTAAAATGTACATATTAGCACCTAAAATGTACATATTAACACTTAAAATGTTCATATTAACACTTAAAATGTACATATTAGCCAGTGGCGGCTGGCGAAAATTATTGTAGGGGGGGGCTGAATAAGAGGGGGGTCTGGGGGTTCCCCCCCAGAAAATTTTGAATTTAGTAGATGTGATTTCCTGCATTCTGGTGCATTTTAGGCCTTAGGCCATATGCCCTTACCTATACCAATAAAATAACTTAAACCAGTCAATACCAATGGTCAAATAATACAATAATAATAATAACAGTTTGACAGTTAATGATAATGAACAAGTTGCATGTTTATTATGCTCTGTGTGCTGACAGAAAAAGTGCAAACGCATAATATTGATAAATTATAATATAGGTAATACAAAAAAAAATTAGGTAATACAACAATCTACTTTAATCAATCCCCAGCTGTAGACTACATATTTTTGACAAATTGACAATTGGATAATGGATAACAATGTGTTGATACTAGAGAGAAAAGGCTCTGAAAGAGAGGTTGGGACAACATTCTTGATTGTAACACCCAAGTATGAGAAGAAAGTTGATTTTAACTAGTATGAAACACAGTAATCTAGCTCAGAACTTAAAAACATCAAAAACAAAGCAAACACACAGGTATTAATATTCCTATAACTATTTTAATATCAAATGTGTGTGAAACAGTGTTTATGTGTGTGTGTGTGAGTGAGTGAGTGAGTGAGTGACAGAGCGACTAACTTTACATTATTTCCACTCGACGTCACTGGCGCTGCCATTCTTCTCTCATCTGAGGTAAAAAAAATGTCCCGTGGTGCGCGTGCACGGTGCACTCCCCTAATCTGATACTGTGGGCGATATTTTCAGCGCCCCCAAACCATAAAATTTGACGGCGCTGATTGGCGAAATATAAACTTTTTTGCATAGCAACCGGGGAACCATTGGCTTAAATTCCAGCACTGTGGGGCTGAGCGAACTGGCGCCCTGAGAAGACAGCCTATTGGCTATACTACTACACCAACATGATAAAAGTAACGAAAGTGAATGCAAATATCATTCTGGTGAGTTCAAAACACTTTTCAAAGTAAAACCATTATTAGCATATAATTAACAAAAATTATTTTTCAAAATGATAAATTATAATATATATTAAAAAAACAGACAGACAGGTCGGAGGGAGGGCGGCGCCCCAGCGCCCTCTATGGGCGAGCCGCCCCTGATATTAGCACCTAAAATGTACATATTAACACTTAAAATGTACATATTAGCACCCAAAATGTACATATTAACACCTAAAATGTACTTATTAGCTCATGAAATGGACAAAAATTTACCTTTTCAAAAGATACAGCCCCAGTGACAACTTTTGTACCTTTTTTTCTGAGAGTGCAAAAGTAAAGTATAAGCATATTCAAAATAATATGAATTACTACAAATCATATAATTAAAATAGCACTGCTAAAGGATTCTTCAAAAAAATGTTAATGAATATATTCATAGATTTGAATGACAGGCGCAGAATTGACGTCCGCGGATGAATCCTTGACAACACGGTGCGTTAGGAGGAGGGTAAAGTGAGATTTGATGTTGACTCTCTCAGTTTGAGTTTGAGAACGAGCGGGCGAGCTTCACTCGTTCGCCTCCGGAGAGAAGCGAGAAACAAATTCAATCAGGTGGAATTAAACAGGGTGAAGATTAAAGCCAATTTGCATGAACCGCAGGGGCTTCTGAGAGAAGTTGAATAAGCAAAAAAAAAAAACTTAAGCAACTTATTAAACTCTTTCACCTTGAGGAAGTGTAGGGGTATTAACTTTATCCCCTTTCACTGTCACGTCTGAATCACACGGCCAGAATCTGCCTAGTGACGCACAGTTAACTTTATCAAAAGATGATTCAACCAGCTGACATTCTTCAATCGCCAAGGAAACAATAACAACAATCATTCCGTGTGACGAGTGATGTCATAAGTGAGAACGCCGATGTCACGGATGTAAATGTTCCTGTTGTGTGTGTGTGTAAGCCGGTCGATTATGTTGTTGTAGCGTTAACAATCGCGTGATTATGTGGGCCGCGGTGATTCACGCTGGAGAACAATGACGATTGGCAGATGTTTTCTTTCCTCGGCTGTTCATTAGCTTCAGGGAACGCCATTATTGCTCTGTCAACAGCTCAATCTCCCCACAGGACACACACTCCACAAATGAAGAACTACTACACGTTTGGGATTGTGCATTATTATTATTATTATTATTATTATTATTTTTTTTTTATTTTTTTTTTGGAGTTGAGTATTGGAAAGGGAAGATCCGTAATATTAATATGAATAGTTTTACAGTAACATGTATTTTATGCATTAACAATTGTTTTAAATGACATTAAAAGTGTCGTTAGTGTAAACAGAATCTAAAACTTAAATTTTTCATACTTCAAATAAAGCTGAAATTAAATAGTCTAAATATTAGGTTAAAATGAAATAAACCTTAAAATAAAAAACTTATTTTTTTTAAGCGACTAAGTTTATACAATAAACATTAACTGAAGAAAAAAAAACTAATATAAAAAAATAAAGTTCTTTTATTTTAACTTATCACTTTAATTTAGTTTAATAGTGATGTACTAAAAAAAAACTAAAACAAATTTTACACAAATTCATAAAAAAACATACATAAAAAGGGGGAAAAACTAGTTAATATGTCAAAAACACACCAAAAAAATAAATAAAAATTATATAATTAATAAAATACACCCCAATTTTTTAAATAAATAAATACACTGTAAAAAATATTGTTGGTTTAACTTAAAAAACTAAGTAACCTGGCTGCCTTAAAATTTTGAGTTCATTGAAATGGGAAAATTGAGTTAATACAATGAAGGAGATTAATTTAATCATCAGAAACTCAAAATATTATGTTACCCGAACTATATAAATTATTTAAGTTGATTTGACAAAAGAAAAAATGTTGTGATTACAAATCGTGAAAATATTTTTTTTACAGAGAAAATACACAAAAATACAAATAAAAAACTGAAAACTGAAAAAAATAATAATAAAGCTAAATAGGAATTCTGTAAAAAAAAAAAATCGAAATAACAAAAGCACACAATTATTTTTAAATAGACTAAAACTGAAACTATACAAAATAAAAGCTAATTCTATATATGAATAAATATTCTCGTAGTGTATAAATAAGAATAACACTGTTGTCAGGAGGATGCAGAACAGATACAGCTGCGTTTAAAGAGTATTGGACACTTGAATTTGATTGTGAATTTCACAGCATTTGATATAGACCATTTCACAAGATGTAAACAACACTGGTCCAGAAACACTTCCTGTTTCAGTTTGTAACTGTTTTCTTTATTTCACATGTAAAGAAAACATCTTAAAGATGTTTGTTTAACTTTTTGATTCAGTTTTAAATGTTCTGTTGGTTGTATTTTATCCCAGCTTTTATGTAGTGTTAAGAAACTGAAACAGGAAGTGCTTCTGGACCAGTGTTGTTTACATCTTGTGAAATGGTCTATAAAACACAAACATGAGCTCAAGCTGAACTTCTTCTGTGTGGTTACCTTTCAGGTGACTCCTGCCGAGGGTCACGAAGCCAGAGGAGATGAAGTTGTGCATGTCTTGACCACTGCGGAAGTTTTCTTTCCCATAATGCCCTGCAAAGACAGACACACAGCATGTGTTATCACATGAAAACAAATCGCAAAAATAAATTTTCCCTAAAAAAAACATATAGAAGTGATTCGACTTCCATTTGAGTAAGTCATCCAGCCTGGGTAAAAAACTGTAAAACTTAACTTACTAAAAAATGATTTATATATATATATATATATATATATACACACATACTGTACTATATATATATATATATATATACTGTATACAGTATACCTATATATTTCACATAGTTGGTTAATCACAGAACATTAATGAAGTACACAAATGAGGCATTGTCTACTGAAATATACACTCATTTCATATATTTCATATACTGTATATTCCAACGCATTCTCATCCCAAAGCACCATATACGACGCTTTTGCAAAAGCGTCCTATATGGCGCTTTGGGATGAGAACGGGCTCTATATTCAGTATATATATATCAGAAATCTGAACATTGCATAAAGCAGGATAAAAGTTCTTGTTCTCTGATTGTGTTGACACATTAGAGTTATAGGTTTCTACAGAAGGGGGATTGGATATCTTCCTTTTTTCACTGAATAAGGAAAAAAAATTATGAATATAATCAGTTGAATGAAATATGAAGAAACTGTTGGTGTGTGTACAATAAGTGCTGCTGAAGTGGAGGAAAAATGCATATTGTGTTTGAAATCTACAGATGGGAATTGATCAAAAACAATAAAATAAACACTTAAATGTGTACTTTGATTTTTTTTTTTTAACGAAGACGTAATACGAAAGCAAATTAGATCCAAATCTCAAAATTGTCCATTCCTCAGACTCTGTATCAGTAATATCAATAATATCAACTCTGTCCTATAGTAGGCGATATATAAAGTTATATGATCAAATTTCTGTAGTTTTAAAACACATAATGCAATGCAACACAATGGAGATTAAAAGAAGAAGGCCTGATGGGTTATATTTGATTCACCTGAACACAAACAGATAAATGATGTCCAGCGTGAACATTCCTCATGTGTGGCAGTCACTCGTCTCAGCCGCTGAACGGCGTCCTGAGACAGAGGTCAAGACAAGGTGCTGCATTAAGTATTAATGGGGTGTGTGTGTGTGTAGCGGGGCAGAGGTTCAGCACAGGGACTCGACACACACACACACACACACTCTCTATCAGCTCGTGTTCAGCCCCGCGGGGTTAGAGGACACTGGCTGTGATGGGAATCTTCTACTGGCCGGTGGATCCTCCATCTAATTGCACAGTTATTGACATCCCTGACCAGGACACTGACCCGAGGTCAGGAGATGGGCGAGTTGAGAGCTTTATCTGTGTCATTGCTCAGCTCTACAGACAGCCAAGGATCATTTTTCATCTTTTTTTCTTTTTTAGTGTAAATATAGACCACTGTACCATATTTGATACACACATTTATTAAGGCCTCTAAATGAGCAACATAATCAAAGCTTTGCTGAAAAACGTCACACTTACACACCTTCCGTCTAATTGGTCATTTTCAAGCAAGTAAAATACCTTTTAGTAAAAATGCTGGGTTGTTTCAACCAAATTTGGGTCAAATATGGACAAACCCAAATGTTGGGTTAAAAATGTAATTTAAAAAAAATGTACAGTTGAAAGTGAAAGTTGAAGT